TAAAAAATTATAAAAGAAAATAATAATTAATAAAAAAATTATATAAATGAAAAAAAGGAAGCAGATAATTAAACAGATAAATAAATTAATGAAAATTAAATTGAAAAAAAAATATATAAAAACAAAGGAAAGTATTTAATAAAAATATCAAGAATACAATGATAATAATATAATAATAAATTAAAAAGAATACACATAATAAAAAGAATCATAAAAAGAAACATAATAATAACAAGAAAATAATAAAACAATAGATTAAACATAAATAAATATTACTGATAATTAAAATTATTAGTAAAATAATGAATAAATAAAAGAAATATAATAATAATAATAAATAAATAATAATTCTAGCAATTAAAATATTGAACAAGAAGAAAATGATGAATAAAATAATTAAAAAAAAAAAAATTAAGAAAAATAATTTGATGAATAAATAGAAAAAAATAGTAAATAATAATTAAAATAAATAATTATAGATAAACAATATACATATACATATACATATACATATATATATATATATATATATATATATATATATATATATATATATTTTATTATTTATATATGAATGTTTATATATTTTTTTTATTTATTTATTTTTTTAATAATTATTTAAAAATTAATATTTTAGATTCTTAAAATGAAATTATTAAACAAAATTACTCTGATTAAAGGGAATATAGGCCTCCTTATACATTTAAAAGTGGTGCAGTTTATGAAGGAGAATGGAAAGGAAATATGAGAGACGGTTATGGAAAATAATCATGGGTTGATGGTGCTAAATACGAAGGAGAATGGTTAAATAATAAAGCTCATGGTAAAGGTAAATTTTATCATATTGATGGAGACGTTTTTGAAGGAGATTGGTACTGTGATAAGGCTAATGGATATGGGGTTTATATACATGTTAATGGGGCTAAATATGAAGGAGAATGGAAAGATGATCTATAGCATGGTCATGGTGTTGAAACTTGGAAGGACAATTCTAAATATGAAGGTGATTATGTAAACGGAAAAAAAGAAGGGAAAGGAATTTATTTTTGGTCAGATGGGTATTTTTTTTTAATAATAAATTAATAAAATTAATAATATATATATTTTTAAAAAAAAGTTCATAATATGATGGTGAATGGAAAGATAATAAAATTTCTGGATATGTATAAAAATAAAAAAGTATTTAATTTTTTTATATTTTTTTAATTTTTTTTTTTGAAATCATAATATATTAGGGACTATATATTTGGGCTGATGGTAGATAATATGAAGGCGAATGGTTTAATAATAATATGCATGGAAAAGGAAAATATACTTGGAAAGATGGAAGATCTTATGAGGGTGAGTATTTTAATGATAAGAAATAGGTTTTTTTTATATAAGATTTGAAATTATTTTTAATATAAAATAGGGATATGGTGTATATAGTTGGACTGATGGTAGAAAATATGAAGGAGAGTGGAAAAATGGAAAACAACATGGAAAAGGAAGATATGTACTAACAGACAGAACTATAAAGAATGGAATTTGGGAAGATGGAAAACGTATAAAATGGGTTGATGAGGAAGATGATGAAAAAAAAAATTGAATTATTATTTTTTATTAATAATCACTTTTTATTTTATTTTTAAAAATAATTATATAAATATATAAAGAAAATGAATGCTTTATAAATAAAAGCAATAAATATATTGTATAAAAATTAAATAAAATAATAAATAAATAATTTTAAATAGTTTATTTGTTATGCTAAATTTATAAAAAATAAAGTGATAAAATTAAAAAAAGATTATATATATGATTTTTATAATAATCTTATTATAATCATTCATATTATTTAAATATTGTTTATTTAATTTTTAATTTATATAAATGCATTTTATATTTTAATATTAAAATTTTTTATAAAATTTATAAAATAATAAGAATCATATTTTTGAAAATTTACATATGCAAAATAATAGCTCATTTATTAAAATATTTACTTTGAATAAAATATTTCATTAGATTTTTTATAGTTATCGAAGAAATATTATTTTAGGAAAAGTAAATTTATCTATGAATTTATTATGTGAAGTATTATGTATAGTTATACATAAAAACTAATTAATTTTAATTTAAATAAAAAAATTGATAAGACCTGTTATAGGAATACAATATTAACAATATATAACATTATTAGAATATATAGACTAAAAATATTTTGCAATATTAATGCTTTGGATAATTTTCAGTTTTAATTTATTAGTTTCGGCATAAATGATTATTTTTTATTTTATTTCATTGCATAAAAATAAAATGGTATCAATAAAATATATGTTTTTATTAAAATTTTAAATTAGCCTTTATAATTATTTTCTTTTTTTTTTCTTTATTCATGCGTCTTTATAATTAATATTAGAGTTTTAAGATTCTGAAAACATATTTGTATTTTAAATTTTAGGAATATTTAACTTTTTGTTAACTTTTTTTATAGGAATTATAATTTCTTATTACGATTATAATTATTCATTTTTAGAATATGATAGTTTATAAAAAAAATAATCTATATTGGAACCTATTAAACATATTTTATTCACAGTTATTATCGTTATGAAGCATTAAACAAGTTAAGATGTGCTTTTTTTTAGTTATTTTTTATTTGTGATATTTAAAATATGTTATTATTATTATAACAATAATTATTATTGTAATGAAATTTCTATTTTTTATTTATAATTGTGCTTATTTTAAATTATTTTATTGATAAATTGCATTTTTTACTATTACTTTAAACATAATTCAGTACTTATTATAATAGCTTTAATATTTCCGTTATTAATATATTTAGCTAAATTGATTTATATTAATTAAAATTAATCTTTAATGTATATAAACAATTTTAAATTAATTTTAAAATTGAATTAATTCTAAGTTGAATAATATTTAAGAAATATTAATAAAAATTTAAATTTTTTCTATGATGATTATATAAATAAAAAATAAGGAATTTTTTTCGAAAATATTTACATAAATCATTTCATACAATGTAAAAATGAAAATTTTGAATGTTTTTGTAATAAAGAATAATACAATGTAATAATAATAATTTATATTTTTATTATATTTTTATTTTTCTTAAAAACAGTAATAAAATAATGAGTTTAATTTTGAATTAAAGTTTGGAGAAGAATTTAGAAAACAGTATATTTTAAAATATATAATCTTTATGTTTGAAGAATATATATAGAAAAATAAAAACAAATGTTTGAATTTAATATTTTCTTATTTAAATTTTCTAATAGATGTATTTTAATCTGAAACTATATGTTTAATATAAATACAAAAATTTAATTCATTATTAAAAGAATTAAATGCAAAATTTAAAGACTTCTCATATTTATAATTTTTAACTATTAAAGCATAAAAAAAATACAAATAATAATTCAACAGCCAATCATAATTTTTAAATCAAAGACTTTATATAACTGGATAAATAATTTTTGAAGAAAAAATAAAAGAATTTTAACAAAACTTTAATAAATTATTAATTTAAAAAGGATATTTTTACGATTTTTTATGCAATAATGAATTGGAATTGAAAAAATAGAAATAAGTGCTAAATAACTGTATTTTGATTAAAAAATAATTTTATAGAGTTAAAATAATTATTCGATATAAATCCTCATAATAATGAACTTTAAAGTCTTGCTTATTTATATTTATTAAATATTGATTTTGGTAATATTACTATTAATTAACTTATAAAAAATTCTTTAAACATTTAGAAACTTTATTTCAAATAAAATGATATATAGATTGATATTTTTTCTAATTAATATTGTGTAATGTTTTCTTCTTTTACAAATTAAACTGCAAGAATAACAAAAATTTCAAAAAATTTTAATGATTTTTTGGGTTTTAAAAATAACTTATCATTGGAAAATCTATTAATATATTGATTCCTTAAATGATGAAAAAATTGCATGAAACTTCTTATAACAACTTTTTAAAATTTGGTTCTATTTTATAACTTTCTTAATTTAATCATTCAAACTCTTTTGGTGTATGTAAAAAAGGCTTTATTATTCCTTTAGAAATTAAATTAAAAATTGAAAATTTGATTGATGATTTTGGAGTTTCTTCTCTTTTTAAAAAAATTAATTATGATAAAAATTACATTTTTTTTGATAAAAATGGATAAATTACAGATATTACATATTAAATATATGATTGTGCTTTTAAAGAATTAGGTAATTTTAATGTAAATATTTACATATTTTTTAATTATATAAATAAATATTTCCAAATTTATTTAATAAAATAGGTGATATTAAGTTTTATAATTTATAAAATATAATTCCTATTATTTCTATTATTGATAAAAATTAAGAAAATTAAATATTTTATACAATTTTGATTGTTAAGAAAGAGTTAAATATCCAAAAAATAAAAAACTAATAATAATTAATTGAAAATATAATCGACAAAGCAATATAAGAAAATGTTATTATATATAACATTTAATTTAAATACTGTATTTTAAAAACATAATCTTAAGAATATTTTTAGTATTTAGAAATAAATAAATATAATTAAGAAATGTGTAAAATTAATAATATTAAATCTTTAGAAGAATTAAAGGGATTAATTTATTCCTTTTAATTAAATAGTAAAAGTCAAGAAAGTTCAGTTTAATAATTTTTAAATAGTATTGATTCTAGTGAAGATGGTAGAGAAAGGTAAACAAAATATTTTTAGATAAAATTTGTTAAATATATTTATAATTTTTAGATTAAATACTAAAGATTAGAAATTTGTTTTAGAAGACTAAACTTGTTTTGATGAATCTTAAAACTTAAATAATTTTAATACTGATTAGGATAATGATAGTTAAATTTTTAATGGATAAAGTTTAATTTTGTAAAATAATATTTAATCTCCAAAAAGTTATCAAGAAACTTCCTAAAATTATGCAATATAAACAAAAGATATATCTCAATTTCCTAAAATATTTGAATAATAATAATAGAATTCATCTAAAATTTATAAAAACATTACTTTATAAACAAATATTAACTATTAAAGCATATAAAATTAAAATATTGAAAATACAACTCATTAAATAAATAAAATTATTATTTCAGCTTAAAATAAATCCAATTATAAATTAATTAATAAAATAGATTAATATTAGAGAAAGAGGTAAGTTTCTTTAATAAAAAGTGATATAAATCATATTTCTAATTATAGCGTCCGGCTATAAAATAGAGTCGAAAGATTAAAAACTCCTTCTTTAATTAAAATAGGTGTGAAAAATTTAAGATCTGAGAATACTTTGGAAAAAGATAATGTGAATTTACAAAGAAATTCTTTGTTTTAAGAAAAAATTAAAGATTTCAATTTTTAAAATAGTAAAAAATTGCTCGTTTTATAATAGAAAAAAATCTTACATTAAATAATTTACGAATAAAAATTTAATAAAAAATATAATTTTTATTTAATTCTTTTCTTTTTCTATTATTTGATTTTATTGGTGGCAAATTCTTTGATATAAAATAGTTCTAATGGTTAATTAAGATTGTTTTTTTAAAATTTCTCAATTATAAATTAGCCTTCCTATATAAGTATTGATATATTAAATTTATTAGATATCTATTCTTAATAAATCATTTTATAATAAAAAAATTTCTTTTAAGTATCTGATGAAGATAAAAAATATAAATTAGAATAAATTTATAAATAATTTTAAATTAATTTCTGATTATTTAAAATTTAATATAAAAAGTGCAGTAAAATAATCATATAGAGAATAAATTCGAGATATTTTAATAGTAAAATAATATGAAGTAAAGTTTTTTACAAATATAAATGATAATGATAACATTTAATTAACAAATAAAATAAATCTTTAATAATTTCTTTTAATATATTAAATAAATTTAGACATTATTTTCTAAAATAAAAAAGATGATCATTATTAATTTTTTCTTTGGGAAAATCTCTAATTTTTAATTTCTCTATTAGAAGATTTATAAGTTTATGTATATAAAGAGATTTATAACGAATTAGATAATATATTTAGTTTTTCATATTATTACTTATATAGTATTTTTGCTTTTTGCTTTCTTTTGTGCTTTAATTTTATGATTTTAATGCTTAAATAAAAAAAACTAAAAGAATAATTGTTATCATTATTTGGTACTTTTCCGCCTGAAATTATTTACAAGGAAATAAAAAATATAGAATTTGCTCTTTTAAAATTAGAAGATATAAAGATTAATAAAAAATCTAAAAAATTATAAACTTAATTTATTAAAAAACAAGGAATTAAAAGAAATAGATCAATAGCTTTATTTATTAATCTTCCAAAAAAGAAAATTTTATTTTAATGCTTATTGGCGAATATATTAATTGCATTGTTAAGTATTATACCTCAACTTGATTTAATGATAAAACATTAGTTTTAAATTCATTAAAACTAGTTATTGAGTAAAGAATAAAATTTATGATGGTATGTAATATATAAATTATGCACTTTGCGTTAATTAAGGTATACTAAATTTAATTTTAGATGACAAATAAATACAAAATAGTGTTTTAAAGCGTTATTTTATAAAAATTAGTAAAATAAAGTGGGATTGTTGTATAAAAAATCTATACTTTAATTGATGATTAAAGTTTTTTTAAAAAAAATTCGAAAAAATATCAGAGTTTTATAATGAAATATTATTTGGAAATTTGTGTAATTATTATATGTAAAATAAAAAATTTCTTACTATAGAATTTAATGAATGTAATTAATATTTGTAAGGAATTTTAAAAAGAGGATTAGTAATAAGTATATAATAAATAATTAAAGTTGATAGTAGTTTGTAATTTGTTTATAAATAAAATTTTCCAAATCTTAAATAAATTATTCTATAAGAATATAAAGTTTATTTATAAAGTTTAATGATAAATAATTTAATTTACGTAGTATTTGATTTAGAAAATAACTTTTTTTTCTCTGAAAGTAAAGAATATCATGAATATATATTATTTATAGATAAAATTTTCTTAGCCTTTTAATTTGTTATTTCTACAATTTTAATAATTTTATTTATTTATTTTATAAAATAGTTTATTTTTAATGATATTTATCAAATTAAATAGTGTCTATTGCTTTTTAACTTCAAAATTTTAATTGAAAATAATTTTATAATTAAATATTTTTAAAAAAAAAATTGAAATATAAATTATTTAAAAGTTAAGTATATAAATATATATATATATTTTTATTTTTATAGTAATAAATTAAATGAAAATTTTATCAGTTTTTTTAATTAATATAAATAAATATATAATATATAATATATAATTAATTAATTTTAATATTATATATTAATTAAATATAAAATTATTATACTAAGTTTTAAAATATATATATAAATATATATATATATATATATATTTAAATTATTATATATTTATATCATTTTATTTTATATATTTATTATATATTTTATTTTAATATATATTAATTATTTCATTTTTAAATAAAAATATCATTTTTATTTTCTAAAAAATATAATATTTATTATATTTTTTAAAAAAGTATATATAAAAATATATATATATATATATATATATTTAAATATAATTTACTTGTTTATTATAAAAATAATTTTAAAATATTATTAAATAAATTAAAAAAAAAAATTTATTATATTATTAATATAAATATATATATAAAATATATCTAAAAATAAAATTAATATAAAAAAATAATTAAACATAAGATAATTAAATAACATTGATAAATATTAAATAATATATATAAAAAAAAAATAAAAAAATATAAAAATTATTTAAATAATATACATAAAAATTTAAATAAATATATAATTAATAAAATTTTTATATATATGTGCTATAAATATAAAAAAAATTCTTTTAATTTTATTATAATATAAAAAATATTATAATAAATATATATATATATTTTTATAATAAAAAAATTAATAAAATATTAATTTAATTTATATCAAAAATTATTGTTTTGAAAAAATAAATAAATAATTTTATTTTTTATTTAAATAAGATATTATATATATAAAAATATATCATATATATATAAATATATATATTTTATATATATATATATATATATATATATATATTATAATATTTATATAAAGTTT